CAGTCCGGCCCTCCAATGGTCCGCGGGATAGTGAACTGGTCCCCTGTTTAAAAAGTTTAAGGACCCCTGGGCCAAAGGGTGGTGGGTGGTTCATGCCTATAATCTACTCTAGGAGATCCAGGCAGCAGATTGCTTGAGCTTTGAGATCAGCTGGAGCAAGAGTCAAACCATGTCTCTGCCAAAAACAGAAAGACTAGCCCAGCTTTGTGGCTGGTGCCTGTAGTCCCAACTACTTTGGAGGCTGAGGCAAGTGGGGAGGCCTGAGTCTAAGAGTTTGAGGTTGCAGTGAGCTATGATGCCACAGCACTCCACCCAGGGCACAGAGTGAGCCTCTGTCTCAAAAAATAAAATAAAGTGAAACATAATAGGCTGGGTGTAGTGGTTCACGCCTATAATCCCAGGACTCTAGGAGGCTGAGGTGGGTGGATCACTTGAGCTCACCAGTTCAAGACCAGCCTGAACAAGTGTGAGACCTACCCTCATCTCAAAATCATAGCCACAACGCCAGGCTAGTCCCAGCTACTCAGGAGGCTGAGGCAAAAAGAGCACTTGAGCCCAAGAGTTTGAGGTTGCCATGAGCTATGACACCACAGCACTCTACCAGGGGGAGACTCTGTCTCTAAAAAAAAAAGAAAGAAAGAAAGAAAACCAAAGGTGAGTCTGAGGTTCAAGATACCTAGATGACCAGTCAAAGTATTTAAGACATACTAGGAACCCAGTCAGATGTTCTCACTTTACTTATTTACATTTATTTATTTATATATTTTCCAGGCTCTCATGTCACCCTCAGTAGAGTGCTGTTGCATCACAGCTCACAGCAACCTCCAACTCCTGGGCTTAGGTGATTCTCTTGCCTCAGCCTCCCAAGTAGCTGGGACTATAGGTGCCCGGCTATTTTTTGTTGCAGTTTAGCCAGGGCAGGGTTCGAACCTACCATCCTCAATATATGTGGCTGGCGCCCTATCCCACTGAGCCATAGATGCCACCCACAGTGGCAACCTCAAACTCCTCCTCACAGCAACCTCAAACTCCTGGGCTCAAAGGATCTTCCTGCCTCAGACTTTTAAGTAATTGGGAATAGAGAATACAGGCATGGTGTACACTACCACACCCAGCTAATTTTTCTATTTTCTGTAGAGAGGAGTCTTACTCTTGCAAAGGCTGGTCTCAGACTCCTGAGGTCAAGAGATCTTCTGCCTCAGCCTCCTGGAGTGCTAAGATTACAGGCCTGAGCCACCACACCTCCCCTTGATAAGGAACTTTTTTAGAGACAGAGTATTCCTCTGGGCAGAATGCTATGGCCATCATAGCTCAAGGCAACCTCAAACTAACTCTTGGGCTCAAGAGAGCCTTCTTGCCTCAGCCTCCGGAGTAGCTGGGATTACAGGGGCCTGCAGCAATGCCCTGCTAGTTTTTCTATGAGATGGGATCTTGCTCTCGCTCAAGCTGGTCTCCAACTCCTAAGCTCAAGCAATCCACCTGCCTTGGCCTCCCAGACTGCTAGGATTAGAGGTGTGGGCCACCAGGCCCAGCCTGATTAGCATCTTCTTAAGGTTTTAAGTTCTCCCCAGTGACATCAATCATGACGATTTATCTCTTCCCTGCCTACTTTTTGCACTTATTGGTCACGTTAACTTTTGTCTTTACACATACCACAACCTCTATTAAGACTGTCCCTCTCGCTGGGCACTGTGGCTCATGCCTGTAATCTAGCATTTTGGGAGTTTGCACCAGAAGAATGGCTTAAGGCCAGGAGTTCAAGGAAAAAAAATGTAGATGAGAACTTCATTTGCCTGAATTTGGGTGGTGAGTTATTAAATTCCTGTGGTCTTTTGGTAAATAACCGATAGCTGAAGAAGCTGGAATAATGCCAACTGTGATTTCAGGATTAAAGAAACTAAAATTTAAATAATAATGAAGAACATGCTCCCCAGAGAGTCTGCAGAGTCTAAAGGAATGGGAACTAATTTAAACATCAGGAATATGATTCTTTAGTAGCCCCAGGAAGGCCATTGATATAATTCCACCTGTGTCTTTAGCTGTTATCTGAAGCCGTGGTCTTGAAAAAGTAAAAATACATATAACTTTATCATTGGATTGTCTTTTAGACATAAGTGAACTTAAGGTCTATTAGCAGGACCGCTGTTAAAAAAATAGCTAACTACAAATTCACCATTTTATTTTTTCTTAGCGTGACAACTCATTCATTTATCTACCAGTGTTCCCACTTGGCTGGATTCATTTCTGCTAATACTTTTATTCAATTAAAATGTGTGCTTTCTGGCTCAGCACCTGCAGCTCAGGCAGCTAAGGCACCAGCCACATACACCACAGCTGGCGGATTTGAATCCAGCCCGGG